GATATGTATTCAATAATTTGAATTCTCTCTCTGATTCTATACCAATTAGAAAGTGTAGCTTTTTATATTACTATCAGAAGGCTAGAATGGAAGCTTTAATAATTTATAATATTAAAGCTGAATAGAAAGTATTGGGTTTATAATCCAAAAACTGTATTAAATCTCTTATGAATTAATTATTATTTAAAAACAGTAACCAAAAGGTTTTAATATTTAATCCAGTTTCTAATAATAATCCCCAGTTTTAATAGAATATAAGGGTATTAGTTATTATATAGAAAACCTCTTAAAAAGCATTTGATCTTTGATTATATATATCGATTATGACTCAAGAAAAAGAGTCTGATTTGCCAATAAGATATTTGTTTTTTCATAAGATTATCAAAGTTTTTGATATTAAGGATTATAATCTTATAGAATTAGAGAAGTGTATAAAGCAATTGGAATATCAATTGAATACTATCATATCTAAGAAAAAATGTAAGATTGTTATTAATCCAAATACCAGGTTTTCAGAGATTAAAGCTATTAGGGAGACACAAATCATAACTAGAGACTATGGAATTAATACAGAAGATAACAATAATATAATTGAAAGTAACGGTACAGGCGATTTTATTGAAATTGGATAGTTATTGAATTATAAGGTTTGGGAGATGGGGGTCTTTTTTTTTTAGGGTGGTCCAAAAGGGGGGGTGGTCCATATGTGGGGTAGTTGACTTATCCAAAGATCATAGCAACTGCATGATTACCATGATAGTTTACAAGTCTTTGCATTAATTTGTTATTTTTACTTGCGATAACGATGAACTGTCTTTCCTCTAATAGCCCGTCGCCTCAATCTCAATCTCATCCGCAGTTCCAAGTTCAACGACCTAAGCAACGAAACTTACACATTCTCGCGGTTCTTGGCTGATGTACGATATGAAGATAAAATAATCATTAGTGGTTTGTACTGGTAGCCATCTCAAGAAAGCTACCGGTACTTATCATGCCTGTGTCAACTGCGGTTTCTTAGGCTATCAAACCCAGTTCAATTCCCATCATGAGCCGAAAAGTTTCAGTCCATTTCAGCCTATCTTTCAATCATAATATGGAGCCTTGATACCCTTAATGATCTCTTGCTCGTCTCCAACATGCTGCGAGCTTCCAAGTTTATTTACATTCTTTTGCACTCTTGCTCTTACCCATTCGCCTGCAGTCAATTCTGGCCCAGCTTCAGGATCATCCTTGAGAAGTCCAAGCCGATCCAATAGAGGGCTAGGAACAGGCTCGAGAATCAAATTGTTCTCTGGCCGTACGAAATACAATACTCCATATCTATCAAGATGCGCTTGGTCGGGTGGTGGTGCGATGACCCGATGGATACTACTTTTCAGGTATCCATTGGTGAGGAATGACAGTGAGTCTGCGATATTGACAGTGATACTTGCCGGGTATGGTTTAACATATTTCTAGGTTTGTTTCTTGAGAGGTTCGTACTTGCAAGGATGCAATGGGTTGACGAACAAGAAGTGTCAAACTCCCGAAATCTGTATGGCCTTTCACCCAGACATTTCCTAACTTCTCGTTTTCTTCCTTCGTCCTTGTGTGATATTTCATATATCGAAGATGTGTGTCACCTTTCTCATCGTATCGATGTGTTTTCAGGAAGAAGTCCTCTGGCAACTCAAGAATAATGGCGAATAGAACCAATAGCTTGGACACAATTTCTTTGTCTATATGGCGGCCAAATTTCTCGATTTCAGACCAATTCTCTTTGATCAATGTTGGATGCGGCCTGTCATACTGAGCGGTGAATTTAGGAATATTGTATATCTCCGTGTTATCAAATTGGCCTGAGGCTATCTCTCGATGACCAAGTGGCTTATATCCATCATATCTACCATTCTCGAGGTCTGCACGATATTTGAGCTTTTCGTCGGTACTCAAGCTGAAGAATTCTTGCCCAATAGCAAATTGATGATCAACTTTCTGTTGACTAAGTCCGAAGTTGGTTGCATAAAAGAAGCCTACTGGTCATTAATATTCCATTCGGGGTGGGCTTGAGAAGCCACTTACCAATCTGTTCAACGGCATTGTGAAGCTGCGCCGCAAAATTTTGTTTACCACCCGGATGATCAAAGCTAGAAAGATCGAGAGTTGCAAGATCAGCCCAGTCCAGCTCATGAGTAGTCTCTGATGCCTGCGTGAATAGAGGAATTTTTACGGACCTTGGCTGTGTTATCGTTTCAACCCGAGTTTGAGACATTTTGAACTTCACAATAGCTTGATTTTGAAGATTTTAGACTTATTGAATCGCTTTCTGCACCGAGAGCTTTGCTTGCCTTTGTACATGAGCTTCAACGGGGGTTGTTGACCCACCCTCGAGCGGGGTTAGTCTTATGATAAGGGACAACCTAATTGACTTCAACCCAATCGGAGAAAATCATTGGCATCAAATATCCGATACGATAATCTAGTTGGTTCACGGGTATGGCGTTATTACATGGATATATTACGGGACATCACATGTACCTTCATATCATTTCTATGAGGTGTGCTTCCACATGGTATCGCATCACGATCCTAATGGGTATCTTCATCGGCTTCAACGTCTCTGGCAGCCAGTGAGTCTTTTATGGGCTCTTGGTAGACGATATGACAGGCTAAAATGACCTTGAGCAGCATGATAGCTCTCTCACTTTGAAATTCCGTACTAGAAATTCTGAAGTCATTGTCCATTATTCTGCGCTCTTATCTACACTGAAGAATGAAGATTCAGATCAGTCATCCCATTGGTATAGGTCCACTTAAGTCTCTATGGTAACATTCACGACCGCGCGACCTACATTATGTACATATAGCATCCCCATCATGTGTAAGTAATCGCTTGGGCATCATTCAGAGACGAAGTAAAGAGGCGGACTACCAAGATTGATAGGTCTATATTTTGTTGATATTCTGGTGAAACCATGGCATCCAAGGAAATTACCAGCATCATCATCAATGATGGCAAAGAAACTACCATCACGCCGACTTATGAAGACAAGCCAAGTTCCTTGGATACTTCTGAGCCGATAGCTACCAATAACGGTAATCGAAGATTACATTATGTCACTCGCGGTCAAGAAATTGCCGACGCAGGTCTATCAACCGAATCAATAACAGGCTACGAAGCAGAACAAATGCGAGCAAGAGCTTTTCTGACATTCGAAGAAGAAAAGAAATTACTACGAAGGATTGATTGGCACCTAATGCCTCTACTTTCCATCTGTTTCTTACTTAAAAGTATCGACTACTCCAATGTATCTAATGTTAGGATTATGAATACTGGGACGGATGAAAACATCCTCAACCAACTTGGGATGAGTGCCAATTAGTTCAATATTATGTAAGTGATACTTGATCAAGTTTGGTTCACGTAAATCCTTCATACTTCTATACTAGCAATACGGTGAGAGATATCCCCAAATTGCATAATACAAAGCATAACTTCAATTGAAGAATGTTGGGCATAATAACATCAAATATCGACCTAAACTCAAACACTTTGTTTCTCGAGCCATACACGACGAGATATTCTGCTTCTAACTGATAAATATTGCAGTTCCACCACACGCAAAATGGTTGACGGAAAAAGAAAAAGCTTTCATCCAAGCTAGACTTCCACGAAATGCCCCAAGAAGTTCCGGGAAGAATTTTGACATCCGGGAAATCTTGACAAATCTCAAGGATATAAAAATGTGGCTCTTTACCCTTTGTTGGGCATCTTTCACTGTCGGGACCTCTGGCTTGAGCTTCTATCAACCAACGGTGGTGGTGGCGAATCTTGGGTTCACGTGCGCTGTCAATGCTCGATTTGGATCACCACTGCTAATACAAAATATGAATAGTTCAATCGCTAAATCACAGCTCCTTAATTTTCCAACGGATTTTCTAACTATAGCCATCATTGGTATATTTGGAATTTGGGCCGATACGGCACGTCTACCACGACCTTTGTCTCCATTATCCTTCTTATTTATTATCTTGGCTTGCTATAGTGTACTTTATACATTCCCAAATACGGGTGGTGTATATGCTGCAACACTTATCGCATCCTCGTTCGCATCATCCTGGAATCCAATGATGTGTAAGCCTTTCATTTATTTTTCCACACCTTTCTCGACATTGGACCTCTTTTTCTCCACCCTCCTTATCTTTTCACTTCCTAATGTATCTACTGACCTCCATCCCATAGGGCCCTGGCGCGTTCAAACTACCTCCCGCGCAACCGGTTCTGTTTTCTCAACCGGATTCGTAAATTCCTACGGTCAAATTGGCGGAGCTCTCGGTCCTCAAATCTTTAGAAGTCAATATGCACCACACTATCCGATTAGTTTTGCAATTGCTATGGCGATAGTTGGCTTTGCTATTGTGATGAATCTTGTGACGTGGTATGTTATGAGGGAAGTGGAGAGGGGAGAGACGATATTGGAGGATGTGGATTTTGATGTTGATGTTGATGTTGGTGGGGGTGATGGGGAGAGAAACGCGATGAGTGTAAAAGGAAGTGGAAAATTGGAGTGGCGGAATGGGGAGGATGCGTAATAATACTGTATGCAGTGGTCTAGGAAATCAATTCTGTCTTCTCATCTCTGTCTCGGATAAGACAGAAATTTCAAAACGCTGGACACCAGTGAGATATGTGTGTTTTCCGGCTCTGGACTGGATAGTCAAGGGATATTGTCTGATAATTATATACCTGTTCCAAATATGCACAGTCATAGAATAAACAGTAAGCCAGCACGAAAGAGAAATAAACTATTCACTCGGTCTGTATGGTGCATGAAATATTCTCGACTGCTTTCCGTGACCGTCACCATTAACCATTTACCAAGGAATAACATCCCCATTCCACGAGACAAAACTCCCCGAAGTCGTTTCCCTAGTCGAATTATCGATCTATATACCCAAAAAATAGTATCAGCGCATATCATATTCCGTAAATGGTTGTGAAGTTGGGCACTTCCTTCCACCAAAGAAAGAGCGAAGAACATAAGAAAGAAAACATACCTGTCTAAGTATTCCATCCACACTATCCTCTAAACTCATCGGTGGTTCCTTCACCCCGACACTATCTGCAAAGAACTGTCCGTTGTGTGTTTTGACCCATCTATATCCGGAAACCAACGCATCAGTATTTGGGTTCCCATGCGTGTAACACAACATGAATATCCTTTCAAATCCAGCTCCCCTCCCCAGAGCTTTCTAAATCCAATCCACACTAAACCAATCCAATCCAATCAAAACCAAACAGAAAACAAAACAAAAAAGACTCACCCAGGATGCACCGCGAGCGCCACAACCCCCCTATCCTCCTCAAAATGCACCTTCCTCACAAAAAAGTTCGCACCCGCTTTACTAATACCATAAGCCAAACTCGGTGTTGCATCGTGCATGCTGGTTATGGATCCTAGTGCACTCGATATATAGATCATTTTCTTTTGGGTTTTTTTCTTTGTTTGCACTGGCACCTCTTCTCCCTTTACCCCTCCAACCAAAAGCCCCCTCAAAACCTGCCATATCTGAATCGGCCATAACGTATTAATTTCAAAATGCGCCTGCACCTCACTTATATCCGTCTCTGCTACCGAGCGAAAAGATGTAGCGGCTCCGGCATTGAGGATTATGGTATCGATGTGGTGTACGCCCTCATTTTCTAGGCGGAAGACTAGGTCTGAAACTGTGTTTTTGTGGACCCCGGTATCAGAAGTACAGAATTCAAGTGGGATAATGATGAGTTTGGATCCCGGAGCAGCGGTGAGTGAGGAGAGTGTAGTTGGTAAGGTGTCGAGGTTGGGAGTACGTTGTGTGGATATAACGGTTGTGTTGGGGCGGAGGAGGAGGGTGCGGGTTAGGTGGAGTCCGATTCCTGTTTGATCATGTCAATTCATTGGTTAGCTACCCGTTACTTTTATCTTTAATTTTTTCTTTTCTTTTTCCTCTTTTGCTCTATCAATTTTCTCTTTCTCTCGTAAAAGAGAGAGAGAATACAAAAACCAAACTCAAAATTCCCGAGAAAACTTTTAAGCGAAAACAACACCACCAAAAGAAAAGGGGCCCCCTATCTCAATCCCCCACCCATCAATCATTCGATTAATCATTCAAATATCCATCAAGAAAAACGCATACATACCTTTATTAGCTCCTGTAATAAAATAAACAATATTATCCTCCATTCTCGTGTCCATTCTCCTATAATCAAAAGACAGACACAAATGCGTCGTTGTAATATTGATCTAGTTGAACAACTTTTTGGGAAGAGAACATCAGAAAAAATGAGCGAAAATTGATATTTTATAGAGAAACAAGCGAAGAGGGGATATAATAAGCACTAGTGAGTTAGGATAAGATGATTGGATAACAAATAAAAAATAAGTTGGGTTTGCTATTGTTGGAAGTGGGATGATAGGTAGACCGTAGATAGGTAGGGTAGGTGTAATTCGAGGGATCAACATTCCAACTGTTGTATATGCCTTATGTGAGATTGTGTGATTTGATTTGATGTGAGGTTCGATTAAATAACAGTAATGGGTTTATGTACGAGTATGAGTAGTATGTTGATAGCAAATGTTGATTGATTATGAAAGAGGTGGTGTAACGATATAATGTAATGGAATGGAAATGTCACTGAGTGGTATATATGTATGATTTGTTATATCGATATCATATTTCTCGTATATTATATTACTCGAGTATATTGTATTATAATATACCGAGTAATGTTTACTAGGTTTTTATCTTACTATTTAATGATTATATAATCGTTGTATATAATATTATTAGAACGCGTACTACTGTACTCTATACCACATGCCGTACCCTAGCATTGTGCCCTCGCTAATACTGACGCTAGCCTTAGTGTATACACTAGCTAGCTTATCAATACAACTGTAATGTAGAATATATACAATAATACTATATAATTACATTTCCAATAGGTTATAAATTCTATATAGATGTATATATAATACAACTTGTTTATTATTAATTGTTTCATCAAATTCTATTAAAAGAATCTCTTTAACAATAGTATTCTCTATTTCTATTATTTAGCTAATTATAGTTTCAACAAAATAAGGCAATATTGTTGTTTTTATAAATAACAACTAAAATGAATTCAAGGAATCTTACCTATTTGTACTTACAGCAATTGAGATTATTGATATGATTAAAAACCTTG